AATGTTCCACCTATATGACGGTGGTCTGTAAATATTCGAGTCTGGACGACACAATCCAGTGACTGACGTCGTAAGTGATCATCGCTCTACGAAACCAAGTCAGCGAGCCTGTCCACCCAATGTCGTTAGTCGCCTCATGCGGGAAGCATGGGTTACTGAAGACCAATTCTAACCCGGATCTTAATGGGTCAGAATATAGAATCAAGGACATTACGATTGTAGGAAAGATCGCGATCATTTGGATTGAGTGTACCCTGCCAGATTTGACTTGGTTGCCACTCAAGCAAATGGTTTAAGTTCATTAGGAATAGTAAAATATAGCGTTATGTGTTAGTCCTCGAGTTTCATATTTCACTGTTTATTGTTCACAGTTGGGACTAGCTGTGTGTATAGCATCACTGTCACACGATATCATTATGAACATACACAGGGCACTGAAATAGGCGGATATTGTTCTATGCAGTACACTGCACGTATGGCAAGCCATTCTCGTATTTAGTAGAAATTCAAGATGTCTTCAACTGTTTTGAATACTAGTATATCTGCATTCTATTTAAAGATATCAATAATGTCCTAAAGATATCGGTAAATAATTGAGGATATCTTTAATTAATTTCTGATATCCAGCTAGAATTACAGATATCTGCAACTTTGTGTGCAGACTCTTTCAGTGTTGTCACAACCCCTAGTGTACAGTACACAACCCTGTGCACTTAAAAGAACCCACGAATCCGTTGGTATATGACCAGATGGTGGCCACATGAATACGTGCAAACACCTAGTTGCGGGTACAGCAACGTGCAGTGAACTTGGACAAAATACTGTGACTATTTGTCCCAGTCCACCCAGCTGTGAATGGGTACCTCGTTAGGATGAGAAAGCCACAATAACTCGGTGCGCCTAGTGGCTGCAAGAGTTGTATACTCCCCAGGGAGTTGAGATTGATAATACGATGTGCCATTGAGATTGACATCCAATGATCGAGGGAAAAACAAATATTAGCGCCTTGAGCAAGCACTAGTTGCCTGTATATGTGCGCTATATAAGTATCTTATAATAATAATAATATATAGATTTCACGAAATACGTTTATGTGTTTCAGATATCAATAAAACAATGACGGTCATGATACAAGTTAATTCAAGATATCTTTACAACAATTTAAGATATCAGTAATTTCTCAATACGTTATCTCATGAGATATCTGTAATTCATTTCAAGATATATATAATTCAATTCAAGATGTCAGAAATGTTTTCAAGATGTCATTAATATGTTTCATCATATCCTTTATTCATTTCTCGATATCATGAATTTTATTGCAGATATCAAAATTTTCTCTATTCGAGACATCTTCAATTCAATATATCTCTATTTTCGTTCAAGATATTTTAAAACAATTTAAGATATCAGTATTTCTTATAATGAATGTGAAGCGCCATAAAATATATAACCCGGTGTACGGTGTGCCCTGTTTGTCAAATATTGCGTGATGTTACATTCTATTTTTGTTACTAAATATTATTTATGACTACTAATTCACTTTTCAACTTTAGTGAGTATATTGTGGGGTTTCAAATTGCTGACTGGAATCTATGACGGTAATTCTGGAGGTTGTTGGTGTTTTTTTGATTGTCGTTGAAATGTTTAATTACACTGATATGAATATATGACTTGATATAAATGGGAACAAAATTAAAATTTAAAACAAAAATAGGCGGATAGGTACGTGCACAACATAGCTGTTTGTCACATTATAAACTTATAAAAAAAATGGGGCCACCTCATGTAAGAGCTTGTGCACAGCGTAATATTACTCCAAACTCAAACAACTGAAGTTTCGTGCCATGCATTCTGTGCACCCCGCATCTCCAGAACACATCAAACACTCACCGATGTGTTTAATACAGTAAGAAGTATCACACAATGTGAAGATGTGACTAAATCTCTATACTTACATTACTTGTCACAGTCGGTGTCCTTCAGTGTGCTCTCCACTCATCAGTTCTACGCCATCCCAAAGCGAGGTGTTGGCAAAACGTTGAACTTTTATATCACTGGTAGCATGTACCAAACAAAAGTAGCGGTTAACAATGTGTATGAAAAAAATGTAACCAGCTGTCAACATTACACACTTTCTAAATACCAGCGCTACAACTGAAGGTGCAGTTATTCCACAGCTGGAATAGAACAGATCAATGTCGCTCACATCAACAGACTCATTAAAATAGCTCAGGATCGGTAACCAACGATTTCAATCAATGAATGGGTTATGGTCATCCACTTGTTAAACACATGCGTTGTTAAATTAGTATTAGCATTTAAAATTAGAATGGATCAAAGCAGAAGGGGGTGGGGGTTGGGGGGAAAGTACTGCCACAGTCAGGCTGGTAAGGTTCATCATAAGTCCAGGGGCCTTGCCCCCTACTCGCAGCCCCCTCAGCGAATGGGACTTCTCCCAGGGAGCGCTGCCATGTCGAACCCACCAAGAACTTTGGGAATAATGTAAAGATTCCCCAGCACTGCAGCCTCCTGTATTGCCCAGAGTGTCGGAAGGGCAGTGTTCTGACCAGGAAATCATTGTACTCTCCCAGAGTCAGTTAAGAGTTTGAGAGGTACCAATCCTAACGCACCAAGAACAATGGGGAGTCGGACATTGTAAGTGTTTGCCCTGTTCTCCAAAACACAGAAACATCAATTGTTCTTTGCTGGTATAAACGATTTATCCCTTAAACGATTTTCTAATGCGACGCAAAAAGTAATTTTCTGTCTATACATTTTGGACGACACAATACCTTTAATCAGTTTCCCACAAGGTTTAGCCATATATTTTCACACAGATGCTTAAGCAGGTCATTAATGATCTGACCTTTCAGAAGGCAGTCCACAAGCAGGATGTGTTCCTAATGCAACACAACAGCAGCAAGCACCTTGTCAATTGATGAACGCACGTTCTTCGTGGGAAACTTCTGATGTTCCCAGTGCTTCAGAGTTCAGCTTCTGAACAGGAGTGGGAAGTGTGGAAACCAGCATGCAGAAAGCTGTGTAGTCTGTTTCACAATCACTGGACCACATGATGTTCACTTCTGCCCAGACCTTCTTTCCATTGCATCAGCCCTTCATATTTCCTCAGGTTCTGAATTTCCCTTTTCACTGTGGATCTTTTTCAATTTAATAGGAACTGTTTGTTTCTGCCAAAAATATACACAGTAAAAAAAGTGTTGCACCCCCATATTAAAACTCTGGTTACGTTGGCATATCCAAAACACCCGAATAGGTTGTTGATGATAACCATTCAGCAAGGATTTGGTGTTGAAGTCATTAATGTTTTCGTAGTGAAAACGATCTCTAAAACGTAGCAGCCTGCACGTGAATATCAATCTTCATGATTTTTGCAAATTGCAGTATGCTCATGTGATGAATCTCGCCTATAAAAATTGTTGTTCTGGCCGTTGAATCCATTGTAACGCAGCATGCCGGGTGCGAGAATAGCAGATGCAGTCAAGTGGCAGATTATTGGACTCCATAGGGCAGGTCTTTCCTTCAAGGAGATTGGCAGAAGAACCGGGCGTCATTACTCCACAATAAGCCGCCTGGTGAGAAAACATGCGCAGACTAATGATGTAAAGAATCGCAGACCTTTAGACAGACCACGTATAACCACAGTCAGGGATGACAGAGCATTGCTAAGGCTGGTAAGGCGACAACCCTTTGCTTCAAGAGCAACTCTGAAACGCCAATGGCTTCCTCATCGTCAGATCAGCCACCAAACAGTTAGAAATCGACTCAAGGCCCCTGGATTGAGGTCCAGAAGAGTCATCAAGCGCCCCCAACTCACAGAGAACCACAAGAGGCTACGTCTAGCCTGGTGTAGACAAAGACAAGGGTGGAACTTGAGGTCTTGGAGAAGAGTCCACTGGTCAGACGAGAGCAGATTTCTTCTGCATGTTGTGGATGGCAGAGTCAGAGTTTGGAGGTGTCTGGGTACAGCTTATGCACCTAGGCACATCATGCCGACGATACCATATGGAGGTGGATCGGTTATGGTATGGGGTTGCTTCTCATTTGACTGTAAGCTGTATCTAGTGACCATACAAGGCACTTTCACGGGCGATTGCTACATTCAGGAAGTGCTTGATCCAGTTGTTGTGTCCCATTTTGACAATCATCCACTTGCAACCAGGCCAATATTCATGGATGATAATGCTCGGCCACATCGTTCACGAGCTGTGACCCAGGTCATCCAGAACAATGCACTGACTCACCTCCCATGGCCAGCAATGAGTCCAGATCTCAATCCCCTGGAACACATATGGGACATTTTGGGCCGTCTGATACAACGCAGGGATCCTCCTCCACAGAACGTGCGGGAACTGGAAGCAGCATTGCACGAAGAGTGGCAGCAGCTGCCCATAGAGCGATTTCGACGTCTGGTGAGGGGTATGAGACGACGACTGGAAGCTGTTATCCAAGTACTGGGCGGAAGTTCACGATATTGACTGTTTGTGTTTGTCCACTCTCTGTATGTCAGTTTCAGCCTAAGAGAAGTTTTGTTTCGACATTAAATTTCCATTTTTTACCATACTTAAAACCGTCTCGTTTTCCTTGAATTTGAACGCAATACTTAAGGGCAAGATCCTTACATACCATGAGGTCAGGGGATACCCCATTTCAGTTCATTTTATAGGCACAAGACTGGTTTGTTGGTGTATGCACCATCCAGGTTCTAATTCTCATTCTGTTATCGTTCAGTTACGCCAAAAACATCATACCCCGGTATAAAAGATACAGGGGTGCAACACATCTGTACTTTTTACTCGTGTATATATCCAAGTGTTCATTCCCATATCTTGCTCAATAACCAATGCTGCAGGCAATAGTGCCTACATTTGGCTGATTACCTGATCAGATCTGTGTATTATGATCGACTGAGCCAAGACTCATCTGTTAACAAAACATAAACACATGCAGCAGCATAAACCAAAACCAGCACAGCCATATGATGCATATTGATTACAGTTTATTGTCAAACATTATATTATTACATGATCGTACAGATTTGTCAAATAGAAAAATAATGTATATCATAATCATTAAAATTCAATTATATACACATCTGAGCAATACAATAAAAACGTCATAAATTGTACACAGGTTCCTGTTGCATAATCTGTATAATACACCATGGGCTGGATCGTCAAGTTGCCGAACTCCCCCAGTACTGCCAGTAGCTAGAACACAGTAGCAGAACACTCAACCGGCCGATACAGATACAGATCTACAGTATACACAGCATAGTACCATGTGGTTATATAGCAGTAGAGGTATACACTTCACAGGACAGTCACAAAAATCTAAAGTGGCAGAGATGAATGAGAGAGTATAACCTGCACTTTCTTCCGACCAGAGTGGTCTTCAGAAGTGAGCCAGAATTCTTCCACTACATAACACTGAGTCAAGTAATATCACAAAGACAAGATAGAAACTCCTACATACTGGAACGTTAAAAAGGAGAAACATCCACGTCAATATTTGACATATTTCATTCAGTCAACACACACAAAAACATAACCCAGCACAGGAAAATGAGCATAAAATCATTGAACTATTGCAGACCTTTTTAAAGTAGATCATGTAAATCTCCTATGTAACAACAGCACATCTGTGAAGTATTACCATCTGTCTCATATCCCTGTTTCTGTTCATTTGTTACACTCACAACACAGCCAATACTGAGCATGTAGGGGTGGTTGTCATGACTGCTGGTGTAGAACTACTGGGGTGATGTAACGAGGAGAGTCATGTTACACTATATCATAACATACATGTGAGTTACAATATGTAACATGCTGCACATGTTGTGCATTTTTCTGAGTTCACATACTGGGTGTACATCATGTCTATATTCACCAACAAAACACATGCTAGATGACAAAGCTAATTTGGTAATTATGCAGTGTTGTTATACTGTTTGGCTATCAACTTTCTTCACACATATTAGTTTGTAAATAAACTGATTTATGATGGTTTTGTTTGCCCATTGTACACAAATACATTGTTTACTTCAAACTGTGTGTGTTACAACCTGTACATAAATCAGCAGAAGTGAGAAAGGAAAGTCTTGCACAAGTGGCAGCCAAGTCCGGTAGGCTACACACCTACCTGCCATGTGGTAGCCCCGATACACAGGTATACTTGTGAGGAGAGCACTGCTCCTGTTCCTGGTGTTTGCCCTTAAATGCCTGGATACAGTGGCAGACATGTTCTCCATAAAACTGTGGCTCATTCCTCCACTGATACAAGAGTGGCCCAAAATATCAACACATTAAACACTTGATAACAGTGCATGAGTGAAACAATATTGTATATACATAACTTCAAATTAACAGAGTAACAAGAGATAAAATACAGCTGTTCCCTCCTATCTGCGGTTGCTAGTGACCTACCCATGACTACCAGTGTACTGACACATTGAACCTCTTGTCTTCAACACTGTATGATTAAGGAGCAAACCAGCAACCTACATTCAACCCGCTCATTTTCAGAATTTCTCAAACCGTAAAATTCCAAGTTCTAAAATACTACTAAATATTTCAAATATATACGTATATTAACAGAATCCAAAATACTGTGTCACTGCACTCAATGGGATATGCAGTCAACAGTCTAAAACATCAACAAGAAAATACACTTCCAAAAAGTGCATATTTAAATGTTTTCTTAATAAATAAAAATCGGACATCAAATCTTAATGATCTGAACACATATGATAAGTTCAGATTCCTCAGTCTTGAGTATCCAGGGAAAGAACTGAGAAAGACATCTTAACTAAATGTAAGTTGTTGTTCAAAGTACGGTCAAAATTTAAATGGATACAAAAAATGGAACATATGTTTTGAATCTCATCATGAAATAAACCAACTTTCTTGACAATGTCAGCGCAATGGCTATAAGGGGTTGTTTGTGGGCAGTAGTAAAATCAGGTTCAACAGTAAAAAATGTCACAAAGAAAATAATATACTGTATTAACAAACAAAAAACACTAAGAAAACCAGAAATATTCTAAAATGCATTTTCCACTAAACATTTATCAAATTTCATTACATTTTGGAGAACAATGACTGTACAACAGCAATAAGTAGTTTGTTCAACACTGCGAGCAAAGACCAATGTTGAAAATGAGATTCGAACCTCTTGAACAAATTCACGAGACATCATTGGGGGAATCTCCAGCTGCGTTCGTAAGAAAAGAAGATCTTTACAGTGCATGGATCTTGTGAGGTTGGCCAAAGTGAAGAAAGGTTAAAATCTGAGAGTCAAGTTCCATTACTAAGTAACATGTACATGGCTGAAGAGTGGTAATTTGAAAGTCTTAGCTTTTGGTATGGTGGAAGAGAAAAGGTCCAATCAAGGAAAATGTACAATGGAAATACCACAAACAGGTTTTGTTTTAAAAACACAATGAACTACACAATTAGAAAATTATTTCAAAACATTTTGAAAAACAAAAATGTCTGACTAACTGCCATAAAGAGGGTCTTTAAAATGGCTGTCAAGGAAGCAAGACTGATAGTTGGATTCAGACCTCTTGAAGTAAATGAAGTTATAGCTGTTTCTGATCTACAACAAACAGGTGCTGACATAAGCTCACTTGACTTTCATTGAGGGGAGCTGATACATGAGATTCTCCTAGTGAAAATGGTAGTGATGGTAAAGTAATCTCTGGAAAGATAAACATTGCATAGTTAAGCAAATAATCATAATACTCCTGTCTGCTGTGATCATGTTGGATACAGAAGCACCATGGACGTCCACAAAGACACATACACAAAGTGGTGACAACAGGCACAATAGATGGGCAAGCAATAGATGGCAAGACAGAAAAAAGGCTGTCTCAAGCAAAAGTGCTAATCTCTACAAAAATGACGAGTATTTCAAAATCCAGTGCCAGCAAACTGGTGACTAAAGTGCTACAAAGAATTCAAAGCATTTCTCCTCCATGTTGGCAGTAAGACACTGTGGCTTCCTGCATGAACTCTCTTCCAGTTACATGTCCACAGACCACTGACTTGTATGAACTCTGTGAACAGTGTTGTGGCCTGACTGATACACTGACAGCTGTGTGTGGCAGGCAAGGTTTCCTGCACCTTGTATTGTCACACAGTTATACAATAATTACACATTTCCCAAACAAGGTCTACATATTCAACATTCCACAAAACATGCATACACTTTATATGTAGGAGGCAGTGGTGTAATAAGTGCAACTCTAATATGAAGCACTCAACAATATTCTCTGGAAATGTGGCCTTCATCATGTATCACCTCCCATCGTGCATATACAGGAGACGTGGGGACTTCATCATGGATCACCTCACATCATGCACATACAGGAGACGTGGGGACTTCATCATGTATCACCTTACATCATGCACATACAGGAGACGTGGGGACTTCATCATGGATCACCTCACATCACGCACATACAGGAGACGTGGGGCCTTCATCATGGATCACCTCACATCATGCACATACAGGAGACGTGGGGACTTCATCATGTATCACCTCACATCATGCACATACAGGAGACGTGGGGGCTTCATCATGTATCACCTCACATCACGCATATACAGGAGACGTGGGGACTTCATCATGTATCACCTCACATCACGCATATACAGGAGACGTGGGGACTTCATCATGGATCACCTCACATCATGCACATACAGGAGACGTGGGGACTTTATCATGGATCACCTCACATCATGCACATACAGGAGACGTGGGGACTTCATCATGTATCACCTCACATCATGCACATACAGGAGACGTGGGGGCTTCATCATGTATCACCTCACATCATGCACATACAGGAGACGTGGGGGCTTCATCATGCATCACTTCACATCGTGCACATACAGAAGACGTGGGGACTTTATCATGGATCACCTCACATCACGCACATACAGAATACATGGGGGCTTCATCATGTATCACCTCACATCGTGCACATACAGAAGACGTGGGGGCTTCATCATGTATCACCTCACATCATGCACATACAGGAGATGTGGGGTCTTCATCATGTATCACCTCACATCGTGCACATACAGGAGACGTGGGGACTTCATCATGTATCACCTCACATCGTGCACATACAGGAGATGTGGGGTCTTCATCATGTATCACCTCACATCATGCACATACAGGAGACGTGGGGACTTCATCATGTATCACCTCACATCATGCACATACAGAATACATGGGGACTTCATCATGGATCACCTCACATCACGCACATACAGAATACATGGGGGCTTCATCATGTATCACCTCACATCATGCACATACAGGAGATGTGGGGTCTTCATCATGTATCACCTCACATCGTGCACATACAGGAGATGTGGGGTCTTCATCATGTATCACCTCACATCATGCACATACAGGAGACGTGGGGGCTTCATCATGTATCACCTCACATCATGCACATACAGGAGATGTGGGGTCTTCATCATGTATCACCTCACATCGTGCATGTACAGGAGACGTGGGGTCTTCATCATGTATCACCTCACATCATGCACATACAGAATACATGGGGGCTTCATCATGTATCACCTCACATCGTGCACATACAGGATACGTGGGGGCTTCATCATGTATCACCTCACATCATGCACATACAGAGATGTGGGGTCTTCATCATGTATCACCTCACATCATGCACATACAGGGAGACAGAATACATGGGGACTTCATCATGTATCACCTCACATCATGCACATACAGAATACATGGGGACTTCATCATGGATCACCTCACATCATGCACATACAGAATACATGGGGGCTTCATCATGTATCACCTCACATCATGCACATACAGGAGACGTGGGGGCTTCATCATGTATCACCTCACATCACTCACATACAGAATACATGGGGGCTTCATCATGTATCACCTCACATCATGCACATACAGGAGACGTGGGGGCTTCATCATGTATCACCTCACATCACGCACATACAGAATACATGGGGACTTCATCATGTATCACCTCACATCACTCACATACAGAATACATGGGGGCTTCATCATGTATCACCTCACATCATGCACATACAGAATACATGGGGGCTTCATCATGTATCACCTCACATCATGCACATACAGGAGATGTGGGGTCTTCATCATGTATCACCTCACATCATGCACATACAGAATACATGGGGGCTTCATCATGTATCACCTCACATCATGCACATACAGGAGACGTGGGGGCTTCATCATGGATCACCTCACATCACGCACATACAGAATACATGGGGGCTTCATCATGTATCACCTCACATCATGCACATACAGGAGATGTGGGGTCTTCATCATGGATCACCTCACATCGTGCATGTACAGGAGACGTGGGGTCTTCATCATGGATCACCTCACATCGTGCATGTACAGGAGACGTGGGGGCTTCATCATGTATCACCTCACATCATGCAATACAGGAGACGTGGGGGCTTCATCATGTATCACCTCACATCATGCACATACAGGAGATGTGGGGTCTTCATCATGTATCACCTCACATCGTGCACATACAGAATACATGGGGGCTTCATCATGTATCACCTCACATCATGCACATACAGGAGATGTGGGGTCTTCATCATGTATCACCTCACATCACGCACATACAGAATACATGGGGGCTTCATCATGTATCACCTCACATCATGCATGTACAGGAGACGTGGGGGCTTCATCATGTATCACCTCACATCATGCACATACAGGAGATGTGGGGTCTTCATCATGTATCACCTCACATCATGCACATACAGGAGATGTGGGGTCTCATCATGGATCACCTCACATCGTGCATGTACAGGAGACGTGGGGACTTCATCATGTATCACCTCACATCATGCACATACAGAATACATGGGGGCTTCATCATGTATCACCTCACATCATGCACATACAGGAGACGTGGGGACTTCATCATGTATCACCTCACATCATGCACATACAGGAGATGTGGGGTCTTCATCATGTATCACCTCACATCATGCACATACAGGAGATGTGGGGACTTCATCATGTATCACCTCACATCATGCACATACAGAATACATGGGGGCTTCATCATGTATCACCTCACATCATGCACATACAGGAGACGTGGGGACTTCATCATGTATCACCTCACATCATGCACATACAGGAGATGTGGGGTCTTCATCATGTATCACCTCACATCATGCACATACAGGAGATGTGGGGACTTCATCATGTATCACCTCACATCATGCATGTACAGAAGATATTATCTTCCATCACAACATGGCACTTCCACTGCTTTGTGGAAGTCTACATATGGAATTGTGGTGATTAAATACAACTCAGATGGGAGAGAAATCACAAATGATTACCTTTCAAAATTCATTGTGTTTTTTTCCAAAACCCAAAGCACAATACATGCAAGTTCCATGTTTATGAAGCGTAAATCATATTTTACGATAATACTTTGAACATATTAAGAACTATGACAAATATAATTTCACTATTTGTAGAGTTGTCTCCCTTACACAAGCTTGTTCCTGTTCACCGAACAATCCCTTTATGAGAAGCCCAATACAAGTATGCAGATATACATATGTACCAACCAAACACCACAAACACTAGCTGCAGTATTGTTAACAGACCAAGTATACAATTCCTGAACTCTTGATTATGACTTTAAAACAATTTATATGTACATAGATATATCAAGTCAGACAGGAACTGTTGTGAACAAATCAAGGTAAAACTGCAAAATGTTAATGGAATGTTTACTGATTTACTCTTCTATTACATTAATAATTTACAGGGTACTGACTGAAGCTTGTCTTACCTCTATGACTGAATGCCTGGTGGCAACAGTGTTGTCATAGCAACCTCTATACCATTGTATCTATCTAAATACAGTACACTGCATTAGCATACCAGTAATAGAACATTGCTCTATTTCAAAATGATATACAAAATCCCATATGACATCAATCTCACACTCAGAAATCACATATTTTTAATATACAAAATTATGCTTGACAACAAAATAATAATTAAAACTATTAATATCTCTGTTACTTGACAATTTCAAAGTGCATGGTAAATATTATCACAAGCTTGGAATTGGTGTTTTGTCTACACTCACACAGATCTTCAAAGATGACTGGTAGCAACACAGAACAAAATCTAAATGGAAACAGGAATATTGAGTTAACTGAACGTCCAGCTTCAACATCCTCATCAACAAAAATTGATTCAATGACTCAATATCAAAGTTATGTCAGAAAACCATTAACTTTCCTTTTTAAATACTAAAGGACAATTTGTTAGTAAGCTGCCCCCCTTGCAGGTGTGAGTTTATAGAGTGGGCTGGCAGTGCTGGCCACTGTGGAATGTTAGATATGTGTTTGTACATAAGGCAGCGGTAACCCTCCTCCCTATCATCTCTGCCGACGCCATCTTGCTAGCTGGTCCAAGATCTGGCCCTCCAACATCCGGGACAAGCAGATGGCAATTAACTGCAACAAAACCATATATATCTCCAGATGATCATCATTTCAGAGGTACCATTAGATTTTAAAATTACATAATCATAATTCTTTATTTTTCCATTTTGCAGTGTTAGTGAATATGTGGACAGTGGTAAGCATGTGACACTGACAATATTCAGCACATACCTGGGACACTATGTTAACAATATTCAGCACGTACCTGGGACACTGTGACAGTGCATAACAATAATGTACCTGTGACAATGTGCTGACAATACTGAGCATGCACCTGGGGTAATGACAATGTGTTGACAATACTGAGCATGCACCTGGGGTAATGACAATGTGTTGACAATACTGAGAATGTACCTGTGACAATGTGTTGACAATACTGAGCATGTACCTGTGTCACTGTGACAATTTGTTGACAAGATTGAGGATGTATATGTGAAGTTGACTATCTGTTGACAATACTGAGCATGTACTTGTGGCAATGTGTTGACAATACCGAGCATGTACTCGTGGCAATGTGTTGACAATACTGAGGATGTACATGTGACACAGTGACAATGTGTTGACAATTCTGAGCATGTACCTGTGGCAATGTGCTGACAATACTGAGCATGTACTCGTGGCAATGTGTTGACAATACTGAGGATGTACATGTGACACAGTGACAATGTGTTGACAATTCTGAGCATGTACCTGTGGCAATGTGCTGACAATACTGAGCATGTACATGTGACACAGTGACAATGTGTTGACAATTATTAGCATGTACCTGTGGCACTGTGACAGCTATGATGATACCCCCAAGAAGAGGCAAGTTGTCCTCAGCCAGCTTGATCATGGCATCAACACAGCCCATGGTGTACACAGATTGACCTGCCTTAGTTGCCTGCAATCAGATACAAAGTAGCATGAGCATGATGACACACTGTTTCTATCAGTACAGTAGAAACATATAGTTAATCTCAAGACCAAAGGGGGCGGTGGGGTAGCCTAGTGGCTTAAGCGTTGACTCGTCACGCCAAGACCCGGGTTCGAATCCCCACATGGGTACAATGTGTGAAGCCCATTTCTGGTGTCCCCGGCCATGATGTTGCTGGAATATTGCTAAAAGCGGCGTAAAACTAAACTCAGTCAGTCAGTCAAGACCAAAGACAACAGCAGTGCAAGGGAGAGAACTCTGAATATTGACAATACTTCCAAACCAGTATCTGTTGGCAGTTTCAAGGAACCTTACTTATTTCCTTGTGTACTTACAGATTCCTGAAGGGCATCAGCTCCACAGAGTATATTTGGCACCCCATCCTGTGAAAATATTCAATAATAATATATAAACATGAAATAGCATGAAACAAAACATCATTTGTAACATCTTTTTTTTTATAATTATGTTCATAATAATGTTAAGCATCTCCAGTTTATATCTGTAGGAGTAGGAGTAGAAGATGAAGGGGTAGAAGAGAGTAAAGAGAGGAGTATGCACAGGAGAGGATGGAGAGCAGAAGTAGAGGATGGAGAGAGGCAGATGCTTGAGAAGGAGCAGAAGTAGAGGATGGAGAGAGGCAGATGCAGGAGAAGGAGCAGAAGCAGAGGATGGAGAGAGGCAGATGCTGGAGCAGCAGAAGTAGAGGATGGAGAGAGGCAGATGCAGGGAGAAGGAGCAGAAGTAGAGGATGGAGAGAGGCAGATGCAGGAGGAGCAGAAGTAGAGGATGGAGAGGAGCAGAGCAGAGGGATGGAGAGGAGAGGCAGATGCAGGAGAAGGAGCAGAAGTAGAGGATGGAGAGAGGCAGATGCAGGAGGAGCAGAAGTAGAGAGGATGGAGAGAGGCAGATGCAGGAGGAGCAGCAGAAGTAGAGGATGGAGAAAGGCAGATGCAGGAGAAGGAGCAGAAGTAGAGGATGGAGAAAGGCAGATGCAGGAGAGAAGGAGCAGAAGTAGAGGATGGAGAGAGGCAGTGGGAGAAGGAAGGAGAGATGGAGGAGAGGAGGAGGACAGAAGCAGAGGATGAGAGAGGCAGATGCAGGAGGAGGAGCAGAAGTAGAGGATGGAGAGAGGCAGATGCAGGGAGAAGGAGAGAAGTAGAGGGATGGAGAAGGAGGGAGATGAGGTGGGAGAGAGGAGACAGAAGTAGAAGATGGATGGAGAGGCAGATGCTGGAGAGGACAGAAGTAGAAGAGGATGGAGAGGAGATGCAGGAGAAGGAGCAGAAGACAGAGGGATGGAGAGAGGCAGATGGAGGAGGAAGGAGGAGGAGAGAGAGAAGATGGAGGAGAGGATGCAGGATGGAGGAGAAAGGAGCAGAAGTAGAAGGGATGGAGAAAGGCAGATGCAGGAGAAGGACAGAAGCAGAGGATGGAGAGAGGCAGATGGTGGAGGAAGCAGAGAAGGAGAGGATGGAGAGAAGGCAGATGCAGGAGAAGGAGCAGAAGAAGGATGGATGGAGGAGAGATCAGGAGGAGAAGTAGAGGATGGAGAGAGGCAGATGCAGGAGAGAAGAGAGAGGCAGAGGGAGGAAGAAGCAGAGGGATGGAGAGAGGCAGATGCAGGGAGAAGAGGAAGGAGAAGGGATGGAGAGAGGCAGATGCAGGAGAAGGATGCAGAAGTAGAGAGGATGAGGAGAGGCAGATGCTGGAGAAGAGCAGAAAGAAGATGGAGGCAGATGAGGAGAAGAGAAGCAAAAGTAGAGGATCACAGAGAGGCAGATGACAGGACAGGAGACAGAGAAGCAGAGGATGGAGAGAGAGATACAGGAGGAGCAGCAGAAGCAGAGGATGGAGAAAGGCAGATCACAGGAGAAGGAGCAGAAGAGAGGGATGGAGAAAGGCAGATGCAGAAGGAGCAGAAGGAGAGGAGGGAGAGAGAGGCAGATCAGAGGAGGAACAGATGCACAGACGAAGGAGAACAGATGGACAGCAGATGGATGGAGAGGAGATGCAGGAGGACAGACAGCAAGTAGAGGATGGGAGACAGGCAGATGCAGGAGAAGGAGCAGAAGTACACAGATGGAGAGAGGAGGCAGATGCAGGAGGAGCAGAAGTAGAGATGGAGAGGAGGCAGATGCAGGAGATGAAGGAGCAGAAGTAGAGAGATGGAGGGAGACAGGCAGGAGAGGAGGAGAAGGAAGGAAGAGAGAGGGATGGAGAAAGGCAGATGCAGGGAGAAGGAGCAGAAGTAGAGGATGGAGAAAGGCAGATGCAGGAGAAGAACAGAAGTAGAGGGATGGAGAAAGGCAGATGCAGGAGTAGAGGCAGTAACAGAAGTAGGGATGGAGAGAGGGCAGAAGTAGAGGATGGAAGAGACAGGAGCAGAAGAGAGGGATGGAGAAAAGGCAGATGCAGGAGAGAAGGGCAGAAGTAGAGGGATGGAGGAAAGATCAGGAGAAGGAGTAGGGACAGGAGAGAGGTAGATGGAGGAGAAGGAGGGAGATGCAGATGAGGAAAAGGAGCAGAAGTAGTGGATGGAGAAAGGCAGATGCAGGAGAAGATGCAGAGATGAAGGAGAGAGGAGAAGGAGGGATGGAGGATGGAGAAAGGAGTCACAGGGCAGAAAGGGGCAGGATAGAGCAGGATGGAGAAAGGCAGATGCAGAAGGAGCAGAGTAGAGGATGGGAGAGGCAGAGCAGAGGGAGAAGGAGCAGAAGTAGACGATGGAGAGAGGCAGATGCAGGAGAAGGAGCAGAAGTAGAGGATGGAAAGAGGCAGATGCAGAAGGAGCAGAAGTAGAGGATGGAGAGAGGCAGATGCAGAAGGAGCAGAAGTAGAGGATGGAGAGAGGCAGATGCAGAAGGAGCAGAAGTAGAGGATGGAGAGAGGTAGATGCACTAGCAGGAGCAGAGGTGGGAAGAGGAAGAAGTGGTGCTGAAATGTAGTAGTACATAGATTTTTGTTCATGAAGCGTGTAGGCCTCCGGACCATGTTCAACAGTTCATTCAGCATATAATGTATTTGACAATATGGTTACGGCATAGTGTAGATCTACTCGAACAACCAGGTCACTGGCGCTGGCGCCAAGGTGGCCTCAACTCAGCTTACTCAGGTAGCAGGAAACTTCATCTCAGTTAAGAGGCTCAGATATTGAGTATTGGGGTCGCTGGCTAATCTGAAGTATGGTAATCCGATGTTTTCATAGCAATTCACTTGCGCGGCACTTCTAGCACAACTTTGGTTTTCGCTTTACAGGAATAGGGAATATTGAATTTCGCTTTCCGACACCATATACATATATGGAGAATATTAGTTAATTAACGGGTTATTTTGAAGGAATTTGCATAATAAATACTCATGCCCAGCTTTCTAACGACATTAGCATCCGTTGATGCCAAAAGCATGCTATATTTATCACGCATAGGGTATGATATTAATTGAGTAGGTATGTACTTCTCACACAGAGTTTTATACTGAAATGAAGTACAGTCAGCTCTCGATAATCCGACACTCATTAATCCGACAATCACGTTAATCTGACAAAAAATTAGGGAACCATTTAAAACAGTGATAATTACTCTCTCGTTAATCTGACATTCTCGCATTCCGACTCCGACACACCAATCTAGCAGCTGATTATTGTAAATACAGTGTAAAAACATTCGTTAATCCGACAATCAACCGACCGTATACAAACAATCACACGTGAGCGATAATTAGCGTTTGCCTTACTGGCTGCTTGACAGCGGCGTCAGTGAACATCAAACTTGTTAATTAGGAACACAGGATAATTAATTGAGACGATTTAATCAAGAAATAACAGTGGAGCGAGCTGTATAAAATGTGTATGATACAACCGACATGAGTTTTCATCACAAGATATTGGTCACGAGTACACCACCTGCTAAGCGACCCCTTGTAGAAGTTAACGCCATTGATCAAGAAAGAAATCTCCTTTTGAAGAAAGACAAACCCCAGACAACACAACAAGAAGTCATCACTTTTGCTGAGCAGAAGTTTGATGTGAAGATTGGACGATCAACCGTATCTGACATCCTGAAGCAGTCTGCTTAGTGGTTGAGCGTCTCTATGACTGATTCCAATGCTTCAAGCTATCTGAGGCCAAAACATCGTTGAATACTTTGCAAACATTTCTGACACACCACTTAGATGTGTTTGATGTTAATGACCATCAAAGATTTTTTCAAGTTATAAATTATATATGTTATGATACACGCCTGAGTGTACATTAGACGTCCACATGTTATTATGGAATTAGTTGTATGTGGAATTAGTTGTATGGAAACTGTAACATCCGGGTCATAATGGCAGCTGATATGCGGTAAAAACATGATATGAAACTGTTCGCCAACATGAAATAGATGAATCGCTTATGTGATTGTATATGTATGTTATGCCATCTATGAATGTTAATAAATAAAAACAAGTATGTATTGTTAGTATTTTTTATTTCTGTGAATATTTTTACATACGATGAAGATAACTAGATCTACCATTTCTGATATGCATGCAACAGTATGACGATCATGACATTTAGTAAACATTGATATTTTCACACAAATACATTAATCCGACATTTTCGTTAATCCGACATATTTCTCTGCAACCACAAGTGTCGGATTAACGACAGTTGACTGTAGTAGTAGTAGTAGTAGTGAGGTGAGGTGAAATTGGGTTTAATGTGCTTGAGAATATTTCGCTCATATCACGACGTGCATGCGTGTGTATGTGTATGTGGCTGCTTGTACTAGCCCAGACTTAGCTGGTTTTATAGTGCTAGCCCACTGAGATACCATGCCGCAGTGAAGCATGAATACCCCACTCAGACACATTATACTGACTCCGAGCCGACCAGTCCTTGTTGTACCCATTAATGAGTGAGTGAGTTTAGTTTTACGCCGCACTCAGCAATATTCCAGCTATATGGCGGCGGTCTGTAAATAATTGAGTCTGGACCAGACAATCCAGTGATCAACATCATGACCATCGATCTGCACAATTGGGAACCGATGACATGTGTCAACCAAGTCAGCGAGCCTGACCACCCGATCCCGTTAGTCGCCTCATACGACTAGCATAGTCACGCTTTTTGTGGCAAGCATGGGTTGCTGAAGACCTATTCTACCCCGGATCTTCACGGGTCATACCCATTAATGCCGAGCACCAGACAGGTACCAACAAGTACCATATTTTAACGCGGTCGGGGCTCTCCGGGCGGACGCTCTAACCACTACACCACGGAGGCAGTTAGTAGTAGTAGTAGTAGTAGTCGTAGTAGTAGTAGGAGTAGGAGTAGGAGCAGGAGGAGGAGGAGGAGGAGGAGGAGAGGTAAAGTGTGCCAGTAATAGGAGGAAGAAGAGTTGAAGTAGAACCAGAAGAATGAGGACAAGTTTGAGTAGAAGGAGGAGTAGTGGGAGAAATAGCAGATGGAGGAGTAGGAAAAGAAGAAGTAAAGTTATGGGGTGGAAGAAGGAAATGGAGAAGTTAGAGGACTCACTGAGATGGAGTTCTGGTTGATGCAGCAGGAGTGGGGTACAAAGCACCGCAGTCTACTCTTGTTGAGCTCAGTACAGTTGTAGTATGGGTTGGAGTTCCAGTCCTTGTACCCACTACTTGTGACACCACAGCATCGGACCTGACAGACACAAGTAAAACAAACTATCAGGGACAAGTAGGTTTTATCTACACATATGAGATATATACTCATGGAAACGAATAAGGGAACCCCTGAAAGTACATGTGTTCCTTTATTCTTTACCAGGTTTCTTCATAAGGTATGTATTGAACTGTGGGTGAAATTCTGAAAATAAATAAAGGAACACTTGTACTTTCATGTGTTCCCTTATTCATTTCCATGAGTACATATTGCTAATTCCAGATTTTCTTTCAAATCATGTATATTTAAAACTAGTATGTAAAAATACTCAAGAGAAGACAAAGAAAACATTGTTCTTTCATACCACTGCACTATATCTGTCATGACTGATGACAGAAATGTTAGTTGTATAGTACATGAGTGGTATACACAGATGACAGCATGAAGCTGATTCCAGTATGGGATGTCACCTGCCGATATAACAACCGTCAACTACCAACAATAACTCAGTATTGCTTACATAATGACTTACATTTTCCTGCACAAAATCAATAAAGTTCTGTGCATCTGGGTCGTCCTCGTATCGGGTGATGAGGTTTTGCTGAAGAACACTGATGACGAAATCTTTGGCCTTGTCTCGGAACACAAATGCCAGCACAGCCCCAGCCACCTCCAGCAGGAAGATGATGATGATAATTATGTAGAACTGAAACAGACACAAACATTTATATATACAAGTCTATGGGAACACATAAACTTATGATTGAAGGACGGAATGTAAATTGAAGACTAAAGAAGACGTGAGCGTTGAGACAACCGTGCTGTACATGGGAAACTTGTAGAAACCTGTCCAGTGGAGACATGATAACACCGTGTTCTGACTAGGAATAATCAGCAAGCATTGGCTTGAGAGAACTTGGTAAAGACGGGTAATCCTCCCTTCTAAGGTGAACCAACTCCATCTGCTAGTGTCAGCTACTGCCAACAGACAGCTGGAACCCACCTTTGTCAGCACACACATTGCACTGGATGGAAGAAGAGAATCTCTTCTAATCGCCAGAGCCTGGTATGACCATTTCTCTTAGAACTGAGAGTAGACATGTATGTTGTATTTGTTGTATCCACAGCTGATGAAGCGAACCGACTGCTGTTGTATTCAGTTGTACATTCACACTGGTGCAAACAGCTATCTAGCAGTTACCCTGCAGATGTGGCAAGGCATTGGTATCCACAGAACAGGGCCCCGTTTCACAAAGCTTCGTAAGCCTAAGATCTCGTAACTTTTCTTGTAGCATTCATACTTTCTACACTGTAACATTGACTTTTGATAGTCGTAGCACTACGAGAGCTTCGTGAAACGGACGCCAGGTTCCCAAGCTTCAACACTCAGGGGTATTGATATTCAAAATTCAGGGTGTGGCCCATTGTCGTGAATATATACAAACAATGACAGCACTATCATGAAGATGTACATTTATTGTATCTTTGGAACATCAACATCCTGTTTACAATGCTGTAATGACTAGCTACTTACAAACTTGAGAAGGCATGTGTTTTCCCTGAGAGCGCGCCCACACATCCTGAGAAGCCCAGGAAGAAGATGATAATGCCCACGACGATGAAGATGATCGACAGGTCAAAGATGATATCATACACATTCTGGATGTCTACGTGAGAAAAGCGGTTCTTCTCAATAAAGGCATATATCCCTACGGCAACCAGCAGGCAGCCGATTAGCTGAAAACATAGAAACACAATCATCACTAAACTTCATAATAACACCCCACCAGATCATTCCTAGGTTATATAGTACAGCCTGCTCATAATGAACCCAGGTTGACTATCAGACAGAGTAATAATTAATATTAACACTTAATTTTTCATGGCAATTTATCAAACAGTGTAGATCTAAATTTTTTACCAGCCCATCGGGCTGGCTAGCTGTAAATCTAGACCGCCCGTCTGAAATCTAAGCCGTCTCGGGCGGTCGGACGGCCTTATTTCATACACTGCGTATACCCTTTTTGAATAGTATGTCTGTAACATGGGTTTTTATTACTTTTGACTGGAGTCGTTCTCTAAGCTATTACTGATCAGGATGACACTAATATTCTATATTTATATTTTCCTAATATGTGAATCCTAATACATGTATATCGCTTGTAGTGGTAATAATAAATAATGAATTTTTGTACAAATCATTACTCCATGATACAGTCATGATCATGATGATGGACTATTGTACAAAGTGAGACTGCAATATGAGATATTACTCAATTTTTGATAGGGATACTCAGATTTGTCATAGACTTAAGTATATGCTTGACATAATCAGTTTTGAGTGTTGAGGTAAGATATCCGATGAAACATCATCCGGTGACAGTGTGACATTTCCTGGGGTATTGATTTCTGTACGACGAGACAAATCAATACATTCTTACGCAAGTAATGATCTGGTCCAACTGTATCAGTGTCAACATCACAGGTAAAGCACACAATGTTCCTGTATCTATCTTATGTCCATGATCATCGCCAACATGAAATTACTGAAACTCGTGCCAACTAAAGGGACGGGAATAAACAAACCCACCAATCAGCAGTCTGTCAAACACAGGTCCAGTTGTTGCAACACTCGATGGACTGTTTCAACTGGTATTAATTAATTATCGATAATCAGCTCAATATGCTTACCAGCATTTTTTATTACAATCTATAATACATCAAGACAAGTGAGACACAAGTGTTGATATCCACCAAAACAGACTCTCTTGCGAGAAGACCGCGATGTCTAAGGGCGTCACTTTGAAATAACAGCAGTGTTAATATTTCAGAGACAACTCGAACAATTTCTGCTGAATCCCAACACTGCCAAAGTCCAGATATACCATGTTTACAATGTTTTATTACCAGATGTGTAATAACAGGATTGACATTTGTACTTCTTCATTTATTTCTTGATTGCTGTTTACAGTGTTATGGGAAAAAGAAGTCACAACTTTTTGTATGCACACATGTGCACCCCTACACATAGGTCAATCCAACGGGGAAAGAAGTGTGCATGATACATAAAAAGATGGGGCTTAGCAAATGGAGCAGCAATAGACATCATCACAAGGAAGATGTGAAACTTTGAAAGAGAACATTAACAATTATATGATGTAACTTCAAACTTGAGGTGGCACAGTATGCTAAAGTCAGCATCAATAAAGCAGGTTTAATGTACCCTTAAAATGTGCTGGTTTTCAAAAGAATCAAGATTTTTAAGATTCCTGATTTCAGCTGCATCAAAAAGTAATGATGGAGAAAGACTTGACATGTAAGGACGTAAGGTTAAGTAGGGTTGAACTACCAGACCATATCAATGTGTAGACCGCAATGAGATACAGAATACTGAGTCACAGCCAACCAATCTTTGTTTCACCACCTCATGCCAGGCAGGGTAAGGAGAAGTAAAAAGTGTTTACAAGTTTTTCTATGATGCATCAGGGCGGACTCATGTTGGCAACCCAAGCTAGGGTCCAGACAAATGTCACACAGCAGCCTACCAAGGCAACCCAAGCCAAGGACCAGACAAATGTCACACAGCAGTCTACCAAGGCAACCCAAGCTAGGGTCCAGACAAATGTCACACAGCAGTCTACCAAGGCAACCCAAGATAAGGACCAGACAAATGTCACACAGCAGCCTACCAAGGCAACCCAAGCCAAGGACCAGACAAATGTCACACAGCAGTCTACCAAGGCAACCCAAGCTAGGGTCCAGACAAATGTCACACAGCAGTCTACCAAGGCAACCCAAGATAAGGACCAGACAAATGTCACACAGCAGTCTACCAAGGCAACCCAAGCCAAGGACCAGACAAATGTCACACAGCAGTCTACCAAGGCAACCCAAGCTAGGGTCCAGACAAATGTCACACAGCAGTCTACCAAGGCAACCCAAGATAAGGACCAGACAAATGTCACACAGCAGTCTACCAAGGCAACCCAAGCCAAGGACCAGACAAATGTCACACAGCAGTCTACCAAGGCAACCCAAGCCAAGGACCAGACAAATGTCACACAGCAGTCTACCAAGGCAACCCAAGATAAGGACCAGACAAATGTCACACAGCAGTCTACCAAGGCAACCCAAGCCAAGGACCAGACAAATGTCACACAGCAGTCTACTAAGGCAACCCAAGATAGGGTCCAGACAAATGTCACACAGCAGTCTACCAAGGCAACCCAAGATAAGACCCCCTGCATAAGCATGCCCCTGACAAGATGGGCGTGTGTGGGTTATCTGTACTGATATTGCAGCATGTCGTCCATGTGATACAGCATGCCCCTGACAAGATGGGCGTGTGTGGGTTATCTGTACTGATATTGCAGCATGTCGTCCATGTGATAAAGCATGCCCCTGACAAGATGGGCGTGTGAGGGTTATCTGTACCAATATTGCAGCATGTCGTCCATGTGATACAGCATGCCCCTGACAGGATGGGCGTGTGGGTTATCTGTACTGATATTTCAGCATGTCGTCCATGTCATACAGTATGTACCTGACAGGATGGGCGTGTGTGGGTTATCTGTACCAATATTGCAGCATGTCGTCCATGTGATACAGCATGCCCCTGACAGGATGGGCGTGTGGGTTATCTGTACTGATATTGCAGCATGTCGTCCATGTGATACAGTATGCCCCTGACACAATGGGCATGTGTGGGTTATCTGTACCAATATTGCAGCATGACATCCATGTGATACAGCATGCCCCTGACAGGATGGGCGTGTGTGGGTTATCTGTACTGATATTGCAGCATGCCGTCCATGTCATACAGTACGCCCCTGACAGGATGGGCGTGTGGGTTATTTGTACCGATATTGCAGCATGTCATCCATGTGATAAAGCATGCCCCTGACAGGATGGGCATGTGGGCTATTTGTACCGATATTGCAGCATGTCGTCAATGTGATACAGCATGCCCCTGACACAATGGGCGTGTGGGTTATCAGTACTGATATTGCAGCATGTCGTCAATGTGATACAGCATGCCCCTGACAGGATGGGCGTGTGTGGGTTATCTGTACCGATATTGCAGCATGTCGTTCATGTGATAGAGCATGCCCCTGACAGGATGGACGTGTGGGTTATTTGTACCAATATTGCAGCATGTCGTCCATGTGATACAGCATGCCCCTGACACAATGGGCGTGTGGGTTATTTGTACCGATATTGCAGCATGTCGTCCATGTGATCAAGCATGCCCCTGACAGGATGGGCGTGTGGGTTATTTGTACCGATATTGCAGCATGTCGTCAATGTGATAAAGCATGCCCCTGACAGGATGGGCGTGTGGGTTATTTGTACTGATATTGCAGCATGTCGTCCATGTGATCAAGCATGCCCCTGACAGGATTGGCATTTGTGGGTTATCTGTACCAATATTGCAGCATGACATCCATGTGATACAGCATGCCCCTGACACAATGGGTGTGTGGGTTATTTGTACCGATATTGCAGCATGTCGTCCATGTGATAAAGCATGCCCCTGACAGGATGGGCGTGTGTGGGTTATCTGAACTGATATTGCAGCATGTCGTCCATGTGATACAGCATGCCCCTGACAGGATGGGCATGTGTGGGTTATCTGTACCGATATTGCAGCATGTGATCCATGTGATACAGCATGCCCCTGACAGGATGGGCGTGTGTGGGTTATCTGAACTGATATTGCAGCATGTCGTCCATGTGATACAGTATGCCCCTGACAGGATGAGCGTGTGGGTTATCTGTACCAATATTGCAGCATGTCGTCAATGTGATACAGCATGCCCCTGACACAATGGGCGTGTGGGTTATCTCTACTGATATTGCAGCATGTCGTCCATGTGATACAGCATGCCCCTGACAGGATGGGCGTGTGTGGGTTATCTGAACTGATATTGCAGCATGTCGTCCATGTGATACAGTATGCCCCTTACAGGATGGGCATGTGGGTTATCAGTACCGATATTGCAGCATGTCATCAATGTGATAAAGCATGCCCCTGACAGGATGGGCGTGTGTGGGTTATCTGTACTGATATTGCAGCATGTCGTCCATGTCATACAGCATGCCCCTGACAGAATGGGCGTGTGTGGGTTATCTGAACTGATATTGCAGCATGTCGTCCATGTGATACAGTATGCCCCTGACAGGATGGGCGTGTGGGTTATCTGTACTGATATTGCAACATGTCGTCCATGTGATACAGCATGCCCCTGACAGGATGGGCGTGTCTGGGTTATCTGTACTGATATTGCAGCATGTCGTCCATGTGATACAGTATGCCCCTGACAGGATGGGCATGTGTGGGTTATCTGTACTGATATTGCAGCAAGTGTGTTCTCATAGGGCATCTACAACAACATGTTAGTCATTGATTACCAGCTGATGTCATAAAGCCTGTCATTTAATCAATAGGACAAAATGGATCACTTGCTGTGAATAACCATCTATAATCGATATTAGCCTGCTGACATTTCACTACCTAAGAATGACAAGTACAGTGACTGAACAGCTGAAGAAGGTTTAGGCACATAAAACACCATGGCAAATGGCAATATCTATTAATCAAATGTAGACATTGAATAAGATGTATACTTACAACACTCCAAATACATTATACAAATGTTTCACAAACACACAATCAAGTGTGTAATGCAGGAAGGAGGAAGCAAAAGAGGAGTGATCTTCAGAGCCACACAGACAGA